TCTCTCTCTCTCTCTTTCTCTCTCTTTCTCTCTCTTTCTCTCTCTCTCTCTCTCTTTCTCTCTCTCTCTCTCTCTCTCTCTCTCTCTCTCTCTCTCGATTTTATCTCTTTTTCTTCTTATCCCACTCACTCCGCCTCTGTGTTCTTTCTCTCCTATTTTCGTTTTTTTCCTTTTTCTTTCTATCCCTCTCCACTTTTCCTCGCTCTTTCTCATCCTTTCCTCTCTCTTTTTCTCGTGTTGTCTGGATTTCTTCTGCTCATACTGAATGGCTTGTGTGATGAAATGGTTTATCCGGCAGCAGGATCGACTGGTGTGCCCCCTCCTAGATGCTACTTAACGATTCACTAGACCATCCTGAGACAGAAGAATGAATGTCAAGCCAAAACACCAGATCCCTGATACTCCATTCCACCTACAAGTAAGTTATCTTCCCCTTTTTTGCTTTTGTTTTTCGCGTTCACCAGCTGTTAACAGAAGGTTCTGGTTGTTCGTCCGCTTCTGGACTTTAGTCCTGTTCCAGAAACTGAGTGTTGCTTTCACATCCGTTTCACAGGTCTGACTCATTTGCTTGCAGGCTGTTGGTTCTTTGTCTCTTAGACTAAAAGGCGAAAGGCTAGAAAATGTGTTCTTTATTTTGCCGTATGTTTGAAGCGCTTGTGGCTTCTTATTGTTTGTCCTCTTTTTTGTTCACCAGCTGTTAACTCTAGTACAAAGTCCTGGTTGTTCGTCCATTTGAACTTTGGCTTTCTGCCAGGGATCTGAGTTTTGCATGTACATCCGTTTTGCTAACTTATTTGTGTGTATACTTGGTCGTTCATTCCCGCTCGGGCAGATGCACGCTGACTTCCAAAGAAGTCTCCCATAAGACGACTGCTACGACATGCTTGTTGGGTAGACAGTGGTTTTATTCTTTTTATCTCGATAATGCGGCCCCGGAACAAAGGACGGAGAGGGGGGAGTGTAATTAGCTTCAATTCACGACCTTTCAGGTTTAACATTTTATGTTTCATTTTGCATGTTATAAATAGCGGAGACGAATAAATTAATTAGGGCGATGAATGACTAACAACTGTCTCATGTTGCCTGATAGGGGAACTTAAACACAGGTTGGGATCTGACAAAACCTCCTCCCCAGAGGGATTTAACTGTCCCCGTGACATCAGTAAGCAGCGCTTGAGCCTCACGTAGTGGATGGTTTATGTTTGTTTGGCACTGCACTCTATTTACAGGGCGAACGTGCGTAAGGGCTGAATGGAAGGGAGGTCCTTGTCGGGTCCTTGTGTGTGTGTGTGTGTGTGTGTGTGTGTGTGTAAGTGAGTATGATAGTGTATGCGTTTTGTGTTTGTAAGTACGTGTGTGTTGTGTATACTTGTATATGTTTGTGTGTGTAAAAAAGTGTGTGTGTGTGTATATTTGTATGTGTGAGTGTGTATTATAGAGTGTGTTTATGTGTGTATGCCCGCACATGTGTGTGCTTAGTGTGTACGTTGATAGTGTGTGAGTGAGTCTGGTTATGTGTGTGTGTGTTTTTACAGTGTGTGTGTGTGTGTGTGTGTGCATGTGTGAGTGTGTATGTGAATACCAGTGTGTGTGATAGTGTGTGTACGTATGGTTTTTATGTAGGTGTGGGTGTGTGTGATAAAGTGGGCGTGGTGTTTATAAGAGAAAGAGGCGGTGTGGGCGTGGGGGTGGGGGGGGGGGGGGGTAGCTAAGATTAACCGCGTTCTGTCCCTCTATCCTATCGTAAGTCAAGTAAGGGGTCCTTGTCGGCACATTCAGCTGTATTGGGCATATAGGGCTAGATCTATATTTTATAGACCAATCGTCACTCGGTGGCTGATGCGGTCAACATCACGCCGGCTGATTTTACTTCCCGGTTCCTGGTATCCATTTAAGGCTGCACGACTTGGGAGCCAAGATCATTTTAAAAAAAGTCTTGTTTCTCCAGGACCTCCAGCACTCGAGGCGGACAGCATACCTTAAGACCTATCAGCAACCTAAAGACATAATTGTCCTCGCCAAAGTGTCAGAATCATTTTGTGAACATGTTCGAACCATCTCCATCTTTTTCTTTTGATAATATTAATATTTGCCAGTAATAAACATTTTATTTTCAGTCTCAGACCTTCATTTGTGATCTTGTTTGGCCAAATTGTTGACATATGTGTCCTCAGACATTTTTGTTTGTGCATGAAAAGTGAAGTTTGTTTGTAATTATTTGTGTCATTATCCAAGACTCAGTTCAATGACTGCGTGGTCTCGAGGCATGGTGTCAGCCTCGAGTGCTAGAGTTTCCTGGTTCAACCCCGGTAAGGGCCTGGATTTTTTCACGTAGACTTGGATTTCTAGTAATTCCCCGCGGTCTCTGGGTAGTGAGATCGGACGCCTGTGTGCATTATTGCGCACGTCAAATATCTCTTGGCAGTTGGAAATCGAATAGAGTAGCCTAGCAGCGGTGCCTGGGCACAATTTGCAGTTAAAAATCCACTAGAAGTATTTCAGGATCCACGCCGGTGCTACTCTGTAAGTTATTTGCGTATCCTTTACCGGACGTTGCAGAACCAACCCTAGCGTTTTTTGGCGGTTGTGGTTTTTCTAAGCAAATTTACGTCCAGTAGTTTGCCATTGCCTTTTGCACGGTCGGCCCCCTGATACCACTGTCGAAACCAACGCAAGGCGCAAGGCCCGCAGTTGGGATAGAACCTGGCACCCCGGCATTACGAAGAACGTTCTCAACGCCTAAGCCATAGACGCCGGCACTTAGACTAAGCCCATTCTATTTCTGTAGATTTTCTTGTTAAGTAAATGCCATGGACCGAGTTGTGTGTGTGTATGTGGGGGGGGGGGGGGGGGGGGGAGTGCACATCAGGAATAGAATGAGAATGAAGAAAGAAATTATTGCAAAAAAAAAAAAAAAGAAAAAGCAGAATGAAAGCTGAGCGTACTGAAATCCCATGCTATAATTGTGGAAAACTTTTCTTAACGCGGGCGGGTTTTGCTAGTCACACTCGCCATCGCCATGGGCTGCGTGTCCCATGCCTCCTCCTAGCGCAGTAAAACACTGGAAAGATGGCAAGGTGCTGATCAATTTTTTTCTTCTTCTTAGCGTTCACCAGGTGTACACTCTAGTGGAAAGTTCTGGTTGTTCGTCCAATTCTGAACTGCAGTCCTGCTTCAGAACCTGAGTGTTGCGTGTGCATCAGTTTTACAGATCTGATTCACTTGAATGCAGATTGTTATTTCCAGCCTCTCACGCAGATGCACTCCGACTTTAAAGGAAGCTCCCCAATTAGTCGACTCCTACCTCATGCTTTTTGGGTAGGCAGAGGGTCTATTCTTGTTTTCCCCACGATGGGGCCCCAGAACCCACACGGGGAGTTGATCAATCAATTGTTAATTAGTTGGAGCCACCGTTGTGTAGCGGTTAGACGCTCGTGGGTTCAGGTCATAGCTGAACAGGACCCTTTTATTTCAACAAAATGTCTTCGGCTCTCAGTTCGACTCAGCCTTAAATGAGTACCAGGCACAGTCCTGGGATGTAAAGGCGGCCGGTGCGATGTTGACCACAACACCCATCGTGTGCCTATTAGCCTATAAAATATAGATCTATCTCTACATGCACAATACGCTTGAAGTGTGTGGGAAAGGACCGTTGCTTTTGTTGTTGACTATGTCCTCTCAAAAAAAACTGTGCCGGTAGTCACCTCAAAGGGAGCAGGTACTCACATTGAAGTATTGAGTTCAGTTGAGCTAAGTCAAGAAATGATATCACAGCAACTGGGGAATTTCCATGCATGCGCCGTCCTCATCTTCAGCAGCCAGCGCAGAGGTCAAATACTGATGGTACCGGTCACAATTTGGTTATGTGTCCGACTTGCCTTTCCTCTGAGTGTAGTGAGCTGGCCAGACCCTCTGGTTACACCCAGGTGCCTCATTCTCTCCAAGCCATAATAATCTTGTTTCTCTACTAACTCAGTTTCTTGTTCCAAAAAGGTCTTGACCACATCTGCCTTGTGATGCATCAGTTCACCACCCTTTGATGCGGATCCAGCCAATCTGTCTGCCTGTTCATTTCACATTCAAGTGTAACGCTAAAAAAGAAAGATATGTAAATAAAAGATGCCAATACTGTGTACCCTCAGAAACAAAATACAAAAACTATAAAAATACAGGTTAGGCCTGCCATTTGATAGACCATTCACCACCAGACTGGTGATTTTGTCAACATCCCGCCTTTATTTCCCCCGATGTTTCCTGGTATTGTTAAATATTTAAATAATCGGCCTAGATGCCGATTTAAACCCCAGACCTTAGCATCATCAGGCTAGCCTTCTACTACATTACCGCTGCTCTTTTTTCTAAATTGCAGACATTTTCATCTGCAGTTAGTTCCCACGTTTGTTCTGTAGAATTAGCGGGGTAACTGCGGATTTACAATCCCGCCATTTTAAGGGGTACACCGAGTCTCGTGCTAGTGTAAGAATTGGTAGACATGAATGAATCGAAGAGTGTGTTTGCCAACTGTGGCTTTATCTGCCCAATAGCGGCTTCTCCGGCCAAAACTGTGGCTTATCTGCAAGCGCACGCATATTTATCCACGTTTGAACCGCTGATTATGATTAAAAAAGAAAAAAATTAGAAGAGATTCAAAAACAGCACTTTGCCCAGCACACAGACAGACTGACGGCAGAGGAGGCCGCACAAACTACAGGTCTATCCCAGGTTCCGTTTCAACACTGGCTTGTCTAGTCGATACTGCAAGACCCAGGAACGCAGTGGCCTGCCTGTGAATCTTGGGGGTTGGGTTTGCCACGATTCGCGCGCCCAAAATACGCCTTGCAACGAGGGCTTTCATTGGTCGCCCAGTGACATCACTGCATCTCATTTTCCACGGGTGATTTATTCAGGTCTGGTCGTGAGTTAGGGCCCTCACAAATCACATATCCCGGGCCCAGGGTCATGAAGCAAGGATAGTGCTTCGATCATATATCCAAACGGCCATGAATTCCTATTTCGCGGCTTCCTTTCTGCCGCAATATTCACCCGAAAGCCATTACGTGCCTAACGGTTATGGCTCTTCTACGACCACTAACTATGGACTCTATTCTTCACGGTTTTCCGACCATTTTGGTGGATACCAAACATCATCATCCGGAGGCTATGGCGGAGTCGTTTGTGCCAGCGGTACTACGAGTCACCCATCTGGTATGTCAGGCTTATCGGAGTCTTGTGCATCACCGTATAGTTCGTACCATGCGCAAAAGTCATCTGGGTTTTTGCATACAAACCCGTACTCCGGGGTAAGTCCAGTTGGCGGTCACCATGGAAGTTTAGGATCACCGAACGATGTCACATCGGCATCTGGGTACCCTATAACTCCAGCGCATTCGCACAACTCTTCTGGTCATCACGCGCCGTTGGCTCACGATAAGTATAACAACAACAACAACAAACACAGCTCTCCGTCGTCGACGTCGTCGCCGTACGCTCACCACCATCATGGACTACACCACCCAACGGGCCCCAGCGCCCTTACCAACGGGATGGTGGCTTCTGGAAACAATACGAACGCCATCAACAACACCACCTCTACAAGCAGTCGACCTGGATCGGATACACCACCTTTGCTCAACGCTCACTCACAGCACCATCACTCACTCAGCCACCACACGGCTACCAGTCAGCAGCAGCAGCAGCAACAGCAGCAGCAGCACCACTCTCAACAGCCAACAGCACATCATAGCAGCCACCACGGCAACAGCAACAGCGCTGGAATCCAACATCCAGCGGTTTCCAACACAGCAGTTACTGCTGCAGCAAGCAACAACTCAAATAACACAATCAACGGAGCTACAACTAATCACCCGCAACAGCGGCTGCAGAACGGCTACCTCGGGGGATATGGCTCCACACTGGAATGGCCTGGGCAAAACCAAAGTCATATTTCCACCCCTTCGCCATCTATAAGCCAACAAAGCCCATTCGGAAGTCCAGGGGAAGCCAACACATTAAGTTCATGCTCTTTGAGCCCCAAGGCTGTGAGTGATGATATATCTCCACAACAGCAGCAGCAGCAGCAATCTGCACAACAACAAACCCAGAGCCAGTCAGCGACATCATCGCCCGACCAACAGGCTCCCTTTTATCCTTGGATGGGGATTGTAGGTAAGTCATATATTTATATTTAAACATTCTTGAACCTAAATACGTTTCATAATTATTTTTCGTGTCTTCTACCGGACGTTCCAGTACCAACTCAAACATTTTTTGGCAATTTGTGATTTTACTAGATAATTTTATGTTTAGTAGTTTGCCATTGCTTATAATGTTTTTTTCTCCAGCTGGCGATTTAGAAAAAGACCGTTTTATCGCGTTTGTGCTGAAACCTTAATCACATTGTAGACAATATTGAAACTTTACCACGCGATATTCCAAAAGACACAGATGTATAAATATGGGTGCAATAAGAGGTACACATCTCCACCACATAACCCACTCTGTTGTGGATACGGAACTAAAATATGGCATTCGTTGTAATACATACATCTTCCTTCCTGTAATATTACATAATAAATTACCATAGCTCTTTCTTTCAAACAATAATGACTGCGTTATGTGATCGGGTTAGCAAATGTGGATTTTTATACATTAACATACAGTATACATCAAAATACGACAGATGTGAAAACAATATAACATTATAAAATGTCGCTTTTAATATTTTCGGGAGAAAATTTTTTTTCACAAACTGTGGGATAAACTCGTGCCAGTTAAATAATTTATACTGATTTATTTTCACTTCCCAGTTACCAGGTAATTTTTTTGTAAAAACGATAATTTATTTATTTATTAATTTTAAAAAATTGAAATATTGTCTATTGTTTTTTAATTTTGTACTCGTGTACATGCAGCTAGCGGTGTTCCTATTCGTTGCTTATGATCATTTATAAATGTTTATAAGTTCCAGCTCAGGGTAGTACATAAACTTTTATAAGTCCTAGACCCAGTGTAATATATAAATGTTCATAAGTTCTCGCTCACTGTAGTTCATAACTTTTCATAATTTCTCGTTCATTGTAGTTTATAACTGTTCATAAATTCTCTCTCATTGCAGTTCATAAGTTCTCGCACATTGTAGTTTTTAACTGTTCATAAGTTATCGTTCATTGTAGTTCATAACTGTTTATAAGTCTCGCTGATTATAGTTCATAACTGTTTATAAGTTCTCGCTCTTTGTAGTTCATAACTGTTCATAAGTTCTCGCTCATTTTAGTTCATAACTGTTCATAAGTTCTCGCTCATTATAATTCACAAGTTCTCGCTCATTGTAGTTCATAACTGTTTATAAGACCTCTCTCATTGTAGTTCATAACTGCTCATAAGTTCTCGCCCCTTATAGTTCTCGCTCATTATAATTCACAAGTTCTCGCTCATTGTAGTTCATAACTGTTTATAAGACCTCTCTCATTGTAGTTCATAACTGCTCATAAGTTCTCGCCCATTATAGTTCACAATTATTTATAAATTCTCGCTCACTGTAGTTCATAACTGCTCATAAGTCTCGCTCATTGTGGCTAATAAATGTGCTCAGCGTAATTCAAAAATATTCATTAGTTCTGGCTCATAACTGTTGATACGTTTTCGCTCATTGTAGCTAATAAATGTTCATATGTCGTTGCTCATAGTAGTTTGTAACTGCTCATAAGCTCTCGCTCATTGTAGCTAATATATGTTCATATGTCGTTGCTCATAGTAGTTTGTAACTGCTCATAAGTTCTCGCTTATTGTAGCTAATGAATGTTCATATGTCGTTGCTCATAGTAGTTTGTAACTGCTCATAAGTTCTCGCTTATTGTAGCTAATATATGTTCATATGTTGTTGCTCATAGTAGTTTGTAACTGCTCATAAGTTCTCGCTTATTGTAGCTAATATATGTTCATATGTCGTTGCTCATAGTAGTTTGTAACTGCTCATAAGTTCTCGCTTATTGTAGCTAATATATGTTCATATGTTGTTGCTCATAGTAGTTTGTAACTGCTCATAAGTTCTCGCTTATTGTAGCTAATATATGTTCATATGTCGTTGCTCATAGTAGTTTGTAACTGCTCATAAGTTCTCGCTCATTGTAGCTAATATATGTTCATATGTCGTTGCTCATAGTAGTTTGTAACTGCTCATAAGTTCTCGCTTATTGTAGCTAATGAATGTTCATATGTCGTTGCTCATAGTAGTTTGTAACTGCTCATAAGTTCTCGCTTATTGTAGCTAATATATGTTCATATGTTGTTGCTCATAGTAGTTTGTAACTGCTCATAAGTTCTCGCTTATTGTAGCTAATATATGTTCATATGTTGTTGCTCATAGTAGTTTGTAACTGCTCATAAGTTCTCGCTTATTATAGCTAATGAATGTTCATATGTCGTTGCTCATAGTAGTTTGTAACTGCTCATAGGTTCTCGCTCATTGTAGCTCACAACTACTCGTAAGTTCTCACTAATGATACTTTGTAGCTGTTCATAAGCTCTTATACTAGTTCACATATGTTAACTTGTGTACGGTAGTTCATAAGTGTTCATATCTTCTTTCGCATAGCAGTTCACGATCTCCTGCTTACAGTAGTTAGTTCATAAATTGTCGGTTATGGTAGTGCATAAATGTTCACAAATTTACGTTTATGGTAGTTCATACATTCACGTTTATAGTCGTTCGTAACTGTTCATATGTAGCTTACGATAGCTCAGACACTCTCCGTTTCCGCAGTGTTTACGTGTTTATAAATGTGTGCGTATGAGAGTTCATTTGTGTTTATACTTTCTCACTTATAACAGCTCGTGTATTCATTCACATGTTCTCACTTTTTGTAGATCATAAATCTCGCTTATAATTCTTCTTCTTCTTCTTCTTCTTCTTCTTCTTCTTCTTCTTCTTCTTCTTCTTCTTCTTCTTCTTCTTCTTCTTCTTCTTCTTCTTCTTCTTCTTCTTCTTCTTCTTCTTTTTCTTCTTTTTTTTTTTCTTCTTCTTCTTCTTCTTCTTCTTCTTCTTCTTCTTCTTCTTCTTCTTCTTCTTCTTCTTTCTTCTTCTTCTTCTTCTTCTTCTTCTTCTCTTCTTCTTCTTCTTCTTCTTCTTCTTCTTCTTCTTCTTCTTCTTCTTCTTCTTCTTCTTCTTCTTCTTCTTCTTCTTCTTCTTCTTCTTCTTCTTCTTCTTCTTCTTCTTCTTCTTCTTCTTCTTCTTCTTCTTCTTCTTCTTCTTCTTCTTCTTCTTCTTCTTCTTCTTCTTCTTCTTCTTCTTCTTCTTCTTCTTCTTCTTCTTCTTCTTCTTCTTCTTCTTCTCTTCTTCTTCTTCTTCTTCTTCTTCTTCTTCTACTTCTTCTTCTTCTTCTTTTTCTTCTACTTCTTCTTCCTCATCCTCCTCCTACTCCTCTTCTTCTTCGTTTTCTTCCTCTTCTGTGCTCGTTCCTAATATGGGCAATCAGAGCGTTGTAGTGATTTAAAGCTAGGATGTGATATCTGCTCCTTTCGGTCCAAAGCATCTATTTCTGCAATATCACACCTAATTGATTTTATGACATGCTTGCCGACATGGGAAAAATAGTAGCTCATAAATATTAATCCCAAAAAGATGTTTTTCACCTTTACGTTGGTTGGTCTCTTTCCGGTATTCAGGAACTATATCTAAAAAATTTTCCTAACCTCTGTGACATTCAATATAGATGACACACCAACTCAAATACCCTTTGTCGGCAAGCAGCAGAAACAGATATTTATTTGCAAATTTTCAAGCAAATTTTTTACTTAACAGTAGTAAGCGAAGTGTTCACATATAATCATATTTCTTTTAAAACGAATATTCACAAATATCGCATTAGCAATTTTCTGATTGCAAGTGTGTTAATTTTAGTTTATATAATTTTGTTTGGTAGTCATTTTTGTATTTCTGGGTATTCTCGCTACATCCGTACACCAGTTATTGTTAACCTCACTGTTGGGATAATAAATAATATTACTAAAGGCAAATGCGGTGTTAAAAGCCCAGTTACTGGTTGTTTGTACTCGGAAAAACCCGACTTAAATTGTTATTGTATATATTTCCTTGAGAGATATCGTGTAATTAGTGTCCCCTCTCCAATTTTTTTCCTCTCCAAGAAGAGAAGGTCCCAGTACCCACCACAAAATGTCTAAAAAGGTACCGGGGAATGAGAAGGCCTTTTGAGGGAGACTCCGGTTCGTATCATCCGTAAGGTCGTGGATTTATTTAGGTCTATATTATAAAGTGTCTATTATAGTAGCACAGAAGAAAATTATACCTAAAACAATTCCAGTATGTACTCTTGGGCACTACCAAAAAAAAAAAAAAAAAAGTCTGGCTCTAATAAAATATTATTTTAACAAACTTTAATATATTTAACGAGCGTTAGTTAACAAATCAGCATCAATAAATCTCCCCCACTGATAAAGTACGAGCAAAAACACACCGACTAACAATTAAATATATTCTAGGTAAATTTACGTTCACTACTTTGCCATTGCTTTTTAAACACATACAATGGAATGTACACAATTAGATGAATGAAGCCGTAGCGAAGACTTCACCACATCCTACACTGAAGTTAGAGTTTAACCCTTGACACAATAATAATCTAAGCAAAATACTTGCTAATATAACACTATCACATGCGATTTCACTCTAAATATTATATATGCGCAAAATGATATGTATAATAATAGTATGTAAATATATATATATATATATATATATATATGTGTGTGTGTATATATATATGTGTGTGTGCATATATATATATAATAGTGTTTATATATATATATATATATATATGTATGTATATATATGTATATATATGTATATATATATGCATATATATATATATATATATATATATATATATATATATATATATATATATATATATATATATATATATATATATATATAGAGAGAGAGAGAGAGAGAGAGAGAGAGAGAGAGAAAACAGTTGTACAGTCCTGTTTACACTTCTTTTACCCACATAACGATGTTAAAAGAGGCTTTTTTTTAAACATGACACAATTATAGTTCTCTACACACATACAACTACTAGAAACGGCTTGCCATAAAGCAGTTAATGTTAGTTGCGTATTCTTTACAGGACGTTTCAGAACCAACCCCA